CGAGCAAATTAAGTGCATTAAAATATATAACATAAAATTACACACACGTATTGATCACAGAATAATATACAATGGTAGAGTAACTTTACTAAATACATTCTTTCAGAAAAATAAAATAAAACCACTAAACAGCCTCAATGACACCAAGAAACGTAAAGACATAATAATTATGCACACCCAATTTAAATCATATCGTATTACGTACACTAAACACTAATCAACTACTCTGAGTAGTATAAGTAGCTGAGGTTGTCGTGGCATCTCACTTTTAATAGGACCACCAGCACCACTCCCATTACACATTCGAAAGGATCATCGACATTCCTGTACACACCATGTCTTAAGTATTTCTCCCTCATAGGTATGTGAATGTATTTTTGGGCTGGATACAACTTTCGTGATGGATTATTCGTTAGAAAGTTTGGTATATTTTTGCTTTACAGTACTTGGGTTGCCCTTAGCAACTGATGCATAATATAATTACGTCACCATAGAAACCTCTTTTTTTTTTAATCATAATTATAAAAACATAATATCTATGATTCAATGTTTTTCCGTGCAGCGGAGTAATCTCGAGTAGCACGCTACGTTTACCACAGATTTTTGCTTGCAAATCATCCCCGTACCCGTCTTCTCTTTCTCTTATTCTACTGCAGGATTTAAGACGATTACTATGACATGAACAAAAATGAAACACAACACAAGTGTTGCCCTTTTAAAAATATATTCATACGTAAAGGTACGAAATTCTAATAGATTCTGACACAGAACTATGGGAAATTTCAGAAAACTATCAAAACCAATTAATGTGTAATGACCCGAGAATTCCAAAAATATCTCCAAGTATCCATAAAGCAATTAGTGACCAATTTGTTGAAGTAACAATACAAAATATATTACTACCCATAAAAATTGAAACTAACACTTTAACACACCCTGTATGTATATTGTATAGCAATAAACAAAATCCAAATGAGAATGGGATATTTGTGTGTTACCTTTTTATCACGTAACGACCTACCTAGTACCTATGTGTTTGTTGAACAATTGTTTAATTTAATTATTAGTTACATTAGATAGCTGATATTTATTTAATCAATAATAATTGTCAAACACGATATACCTACTTAATTTTGTATCTGGATTTTTCTTTTCATTCTAAGTCCGATTCAACATTGCCCTTTTCAGCGTGTATATAAGTGAAAATATTTTGAGAATAAATTTTATATTACGAGTATTGTAGTATTATAATATATAGTGCGTGTCTATCCAGCTGGTCGATAACGGGTCAACTAAATTGATTGGTAACTTCTCAATGCAACGTTGTTAGTAAACTAGCAAGACCGTACTCTGCACAAATTTTTGGAGAGGTGAACCCTTACCCACAAGGTACGGCTATCATTGTAGTTAAGTGGTTTATTGTGCTGACATGAGGCAAAATATTTTACTATGTCAGTGATAATTGCATGCATGTTCCGGAATTAGCATATTGCTTTTAGTAGATGGTATAATTTGTATTTTCCCGGGTGTCCAAAGCCAAACGCTAAATGAGTTTCCCATGTTAATTTCTTTGCGATTCACTTCGTTATCGCCACTTGCCAGTTGTTTTTCTATACCCTTTAATACTGATATATATTAATTTTGTTGTCTTTTATTATTTGTGATCTTGAATCTTCTGATCGGTGATTTATTTTAAATTTTTTTATGCTTTGACATAACTGCATATACTGCACATGACAATTTAATTTTTTTCAAGTTCTGTTCAATCTTGGAAATCATGTAATGCATCTGCTGCAATATTTTTCTTTCTGGTATATATGTTATATATATAATATTCTTGAAGTGCTATTGTCCATCTTATTAGTTTATCTTTCGTTAATCAGAACTGTTTTATAAATGTTAATGTACCAACGATTTTCTATCTTGATTTTTATCCATACAATATCAAATATTCTGTATTTTAATTTTAAGGTTAGAAGTATGTAATATAATCTTGTAAATTAAGGTAGGTAAGCTATTATTATTAGTTATTACAATAATTACTATTTTATATGTAATTTTGGCACCATAATATAGTAAGTTCAATTAAAATTATAAATGTTCTATATTATTGGAAGACCTGCAGAGGATAAAGTTTCAGAGTTCTGCTTATAACATCTCGGTAGTTAATAGTAATCTATCATGTATGTTATATCAGAACTTACATACACTTATCTATAAACTAGAATTGTTTGTGGTTTGTATACATATAACAATACGAATTTAATATTCCTTCATAATCGTTCAATTTGTAGGTATGAACATTTTTAATTAATTAAGTACCTTAGTGCTGTAAATTATGATTATTAAGATGACGATGATAATCTAAAAGTTATTTATTTAAATTACCGACATTTCAAGCATGTTTGAATACAATTCTTTAGAGTTTAGAGTAACACAAAAATTCAGCTACCTATCTATGCAACTACGTAATTTTAATTAAATGATCATCTTTTTTTTATTTATATAAAATCTAGAACTTATTTAATAAAGAATATTTTATTTTAATAACTAACACGTTAACTAATCTATGCTAAACCTTGGAATCAATGCCTTAAGATTATTATTTAAAGCTTGATAGAGTATAAACTTTACATTGAAATTAAAATATACATAACGGTTATATTACAATTATACGTTTGACGTAGGTATGAAATTTTACACTGTCATAAGTTATATCAATGAAAGGTTGATTATAATTAAAAGATAAAAACTTTTATTGTTAAATGAAATATTAGTCAATACCACTGCAGGTACCTTATAAAACGAACGCATAATATTCATACAAGTAATCTTCAATTTCCTCTCAACTGTTATAAAATGGTTTTAATTTAATCACATAAAGAGTGTAGGTACGAGTATATGTTTAATTATTAATAAATAATATTATAAAATTCCAGAGAAGTCTGTAGTATAGTGGGTTATGATTTTATGAGGGAGCCTCGTAATTTAGTAGGTCACTGTAATAGTTAAATTTGAATTCAATGATAAATCATTTTATACGAAAAACAGTTATAAGCAGAGACAGTGTGTAACAGACTATCAATTTTTTAAATCGTGTACAGTAGTACTTATACAATAAACGAATGAAAACAGATTTTTCTGGTGAGTGTCATAAACTGAAAAAGTGCGGCCTTCTAATCCCAAATTTCGTTTTATAAGTCATATAATTTTAAAATAAAACTTGTATGTACTATTTCTCTTACATCTTCAGCTCTCAGTTCATCAGTAGTATTTAGCAAGTACAAACAGATGAATAATTTTCAATTGTTAGTCTCTAACTATGTTTTTGTACAAGTCAATAACTTTTTTTTTTTTAATATTTTCTTAACGTAAATTGAAAAGCCATGATCAGTCGAATGTACATAAAGTTTTACTTAAACTCAATACGAAAAAATGAAACTGAATTATTTATTGTTTTTGTGTTTCTGAATACTATGCATGTGTTAGCTAATGCTATAATATAGGTGCAGCTAACTTAAGTTAATATTTTCAACAAATATCATCCAATATCTTGGGTAGTTGATTATGCCTATTGCCGAAAGGTGGTGAGAAGAGTAATCATACCATTCGGTGATCACTCGGTAGTATATTGTACAATCACATATTTACTTGCAATAATAATACTTAATATCGTAAACAAATCTGTACCATAGAAGTCATAGCATAATGCAAGTGTGTTTTTTGAAATGTTGAGTTAGTTATATAAGCAGAATATGATTTTTGTGATCTTTTTAAAGGTATTAAAACGTAAGTTATGTCTACAATAAATGCATAGATAACAAGAAGTATGAACATACTAAGTATTTAAGTACTAAATTAAGTCTTAAACTATGATGGGTGTATAGAAACGTATGTCCAGCGTTTACATAAGAAAAGTAATACAAAATAATATTTTTGAAGTATACAATTATAAGTCCATTGCAACAAATATTTTTGTTTTTTTTTCTCCTGTAAAATTTTCTTTCTGTGACTTGCGTTAGTCGACTTCTGTGGTACAGAAATATTGTGTTACATAATATTGTAACTTTATAAGAATGTGAATTTGTAGCAATATTTATTTATTTTTTATAATAGTTTATAAGATATATATTATATTGTATTTATTAGCCCAAAGTTTGAATTATATAACAATGAATTACTTTTCAAACTTTTGTTTTGCTTGTTTTGATATTTTAGTTGAATTTTTGGCCGTTTAAAGTCTTCTTTGTTTTGACACCATTTTAAGGTGTATTATTGAAACTAATTTTTGCTTAGTAACAATATTTTTTTAAACTTAAATTTTTAGTACCTATACCTACTTAATAAACTAAATACTTTTTTTTAATTGTAAGCCTCACACTTAGGCATTCGATGAATTGGTTGTACATTAAGCATTTCATAGTGTCACAGATGCTCTAGTACGATTTTTCCCTTTTTGGAGTGCAATTTTTTTTAATGATGCACTTTGTCGCAATGTAGACATCACTACTTTGATTTCTAAATTTTTCGGGAGGAGACCTTAGACATTTTTAAAATGTTTAAAATGTTTTGAATTATATCCATTCCATTGCCTACTAGTTAGGGTTATTGGTCATGCTTGAGTATCTGTGCCAAGTGATGACAACTCACAAGATACCTAATCAGAAACTGACGTGTGCTCAGATATAAACATAGCAAAATTTGCTACATTTAGTAACTATTCGGGATTATAAATTTATATTAGAAAAATGTTTTTTTAGTGCATTAAATGCACAGCCCTAGTGCAATTGATATTAATTAAATAGTTCAATAAAATTGAATAGACGGCGAATCATGGATATTTAAAACATGTTTAAATGAACATTATTATTAGCTCACTATTGGTTCATTAATTGTTTAATGATTGTTCATGTAACCTGATAATAAGTACCGTCTATATTATTATTATTATTGCAATTTCCGTGTGACTATAGTACGCGGTATGAAAATGAAGTACTGACCTTTGGCTGTCGGGCTGGGTCCGTGATGGCGGTCTGCCGCCTCGGATACGGGTAAAAGTCGTCTGTGTAGACAACGTTGCGGACGGCGCCGCTGAACCGGGGCTCGAATATGACGCTGGGCAGCGCGAGCCGGGTGAGCCGGCCGTTGTACCAACCGGGCATGCCGCCCACGTACACGGCCGAGTTGGACGCCAGCCGACCAAACTGCAGCTCCTTGCCGGCGGACGCGGCCGCGCTGGTCGCGTTGTCCACGGTCAGGGCGGTGACGCGACCACGGCGCTCGACGGCCGTCCGGTGCCACCGGCCGTCGTACAGGTCGTGGCCGGCCATCAGTATCTGGGCACCGGCGCCCAGGTTGTACCGCAGCCGCATGGTGCCCTCCACCATTTTCAGCTCGAAAAAGTCGTAAGTGCCGCCGTCGTCTGTGTACATGAGCAGCCCGTTTGGCGACCGCGTCTTGAACTCCATCTCAAGCGTGCCGTTGACGCCCGCGTTCCACTTCCGGAACTGGCCGTACGTGCCATCCAACACCAGACCGCCGGCGGTGCCCATCACGGCGGCCACGCACCAGATCGCGATCGCCGTCATCGCAGTTGTTGTTGTCGTCCTCGTCGTCGTAGTCATTGTCATGACGGTAGGTGGTTGGTGGTGTCGGCGGTGGTGGTGGTGGCGGCGGCGGTCGGCCGACCGGCGACGATCACTGCGGCGCGACTGCCTTCCTCATGCGCTAGCGAATTGTTGTAACCTCCTCGTCCGCTGCCGTAGATTACCTGGTGGAAACCAATAAACATGATCGTATTAGTCTCGATTTATAATATTGTATGGCTGATGTCCTTACTGAAAACCATATATTTTATACTATTATGCAAGTGACATACAAATGACAATATCAGTGGTGTACCTATACCTAAGATTTATCGACAGAAGGGAGGAGGTTGAGCATTAGTAAATTAATCTTAGGCACTGGCCGTTAACATTTTTTTTTCACTATCAATTATAATGTCATAGCATGTTAAATTAACTTGAAATAAAAATTATATAATATACATATAAATATGGGAGCGTTTAATTGTTAGTTTAATAATATTAGTATTCAATATAATTTTATTATTTCGTTTAATCATCAAATTGTATTCTCCCGTCTCCCGAGTGCCTTATTGGAAAATAATTTAATTATAACATATGATAATAATATAATTATGACATATTATAATAATATAATTATATTATACGTCACAGCTTCTCTCGTGATTGGTTGTTTATTTTTACTTCAGAGGATTATGATATGTATAATTTTTAATTCAAATTTTATCTTTTAATGTAATCGGCAAGTAAATATCCAAAATGGTTAATGAAAACTTATTGAAATGTTTCTACTTAGAGGTATTAATGATAAATATATTTTTTATTAAAAATAGCTGACAACGTGCACTTCGTCGCCCGTTAAATGTACCAACTCTATATGACTCAAACTTTGTTCAATTTGTTATTTAATATTCAGGTGTATATCGTTCAAAACTTATCTTAACTTTTCTGTTGCCCAGAATAAAAATTCTGATTCGCAGCACTATATTGGCAGGTAGGCAATCTACCTGTAGTAGATCGTGGACCCCTTTTGTACGTAAGTGTATGATTTAGCTCTAGAGTATCAAAGTCATACGAAGTTTGTCGTTTTCACTTAACTCCACCTACGGTGGATTAATATAATCAATTAATACAAAATCCTAACCCAACCAAACTAAAATCTGATGAATAAAAAAAAACCAAACTTAACTCTTTTTAAATTAATCTTATCTTCTTCCTAGAGGTCTATTATACACACAAACGTCATTTAGATATACTTTTAGCTGTCCCACCCGGCGTTGCCGAATCAAAAGTTACTTCATGTGAAATACATTGGCAATATTATAACTTATACGTACAAGTTCAAGGACTTGTAATCGGAAATCGTAAATGTATTATAGTTGATCCTGTTCACTTCGTTGCCCTGTGAAATATGTACCAACTTTATATATGATTCAAATTTGTTCAATTTGTTTATTTAAAATTCGGTGTACCTATATGAGACACGCAGTATGTTAAATATTTTCAGGTAGGCAATCCACCTGTGGTGGATTGCAAACCCCTCTCTGTGCGTACCTAATTACGAATGTTTTATTAACATTTAACAAGTTGATATTACGATGTGCATGTGTCGAAAAATTAGTCTTGGTATTTTTTTACTACCTAAGCTATCTGCTATAAAGCTACAGGTCTAAAATTATTTTCATTATTTTATCATGACCAATAGGTAATAGGTAGCAACCTTACAATAAACAAAAATATATTATGATTTAGATTCTTTTCTTTCTGTATGATGATACCTATATCCAGATTTTCTACTTTTTGGGTGAATTTTCCTAAAATGATCTTACTTCAGAGTTAAGAACCTTCTCCTAACAATTACGAATATAACAAAAAAATAATTAGAGAAATCGGTCCACCCGTTCACGCGTGATACCGCATCCAAAGGAATATATATTTAATTTATATAATATATAGAATATAGATAGATACATATAGTATAATATAAATGGATTGTTGAATTTTACTTCTTGAACAATTATTAACAAATATCTACTCGCCGATAAAACATACACATAAGAAAAAAGGTCAGGTTGCAAGTAGCTGGAGATTAACTTTATCGGACTAAATTTATGCCTATAACCTTCTCTGTGATGTCCTCTTTAATTTACAAAAAACTGCAAGAGGATCCAATAATTAGTTTCGGAGTTTACCCAAAACATAAAAACAAACTCTATAATTTTATATATTAGTATAGATATGTATTATACAGGACGAATTTATTGTTTAACGTAAAAGACTCATTATTTAAAAAATTATTTTTTTACAATATAATTCAAAATCACTAAAAAATAATATGTTTTACTTATTACCTACTTTTACTATTATATATTTAGTTATCAACCTATTTGAATGACAATAGTTTTAATTTAGTTTTTCCAAGCAGAACATTTTTCAGAATATTCCAATATACAAAAATCTAATTTTATATTAGTACCTTATAGTATAGTATTAATTAGAAAAAAATATTGAAATTTAGATAAGTGAACTATACCAACATTTTGAGAGGTACCTACCATAACTTTCTAATCTAACTTTAAATACAAATATTCCATAAGTTGTTATTTTAACATTATAAAAATCATAAAAATACTGTTTTATTCTTTTCAATTTCAAATGTTGACAACATTTGTAAATTTAGTAGCACTTACGCAAAACACGACATTATTAAAATTTCAGCCAGACTGACTGACGCACATACGAGTCATTGCATGTTTTTAGTTATTAAAATATTAAATTATATTTGGAGACTGCTGACGTATGTGAAGCACTTACGTCTTTTAGTATATTTTATTTAATATATATTTATATAATATATTATATACAAAATGGGATTTATATTAAATGGAGGTAGAAGAATATTTAGTTATCAGCAAATATATGGGTTCTCAACATTTTGTTTACAAAATTATTGATTTTAACTGGACTTGCGAGGTAATTAGTAAAATATGCATGTTGTACCTACTGAAAGGAATAACTGAAAAATAATAATTCTAGTTATTTCGTTCCAAAAAATAGTATTCACAGGGTGTTGAAACTTTTTGACACTATGTTTGTATAATATTATTGTGTATTATTTAGTATACATATTGCAATTTTCAAAACATTTTGATTCATTTTAAGCTATTAAGTTATGTCACGAACCTTTTCACATCTATTACCTACATACCGTACTGTTGTACTAACTTTAAACATTATATATATATCATTATTAATATCTTATAGTGCATGCAATTTGTTTTTGGAAAAAATTAATTAAACTCTTATTGTACTACTAATAAAAAAATAAATTACTAATAGTACCTACATCATTTAAACTAATAATAAATATTAAAAAATATCCATAATAGTAGAGTTTGACACACTGTATCCGCTACGAATCGCTTTTCGCATGTATCTATCTATCATTAAATTCTAATTTAACACATTAATTTCAATGACGTGCAGCATCGTGTAGAAAATCTTAGCACGCATGTGAGATAATAGTATTTTAATTGTGTTTTATGATTATAAAGACTTTTCAACTAACGAAAAAATAGCATTGCATATAATCACGTAATAGTAATATTACTTGTAGGTGTTAAGTGTTAACTATAATATTGTAGGTCATCTACGTGATCTAGACAATGTAATTGCCAATTAAGTAAAGTATGTTTAATATTATATCAAAAATGATTTTTAATTTTCAAGTTTTCAATCCTTCATAGTGAGAATATAGAAACCCTTTTAGCATTTTCCCCTTTATGTAAACCTCTGGACAATTTTATCACGAATGGATGTCCGGATAACACGCTCTGTGGTTATTAATTAGTTAAAGTAAACCTAGAGCCGGCAATTACAGTACCTACTGTAGGATACATCCTGAACACCTGGAAAAGTATTCAACACATCCCATTAACGGGAACGTTGGATAAGTGAATCATTACCAAATGACCAATAAAGTTTAATAGTTGGATAGTTTTTTATCCAAAATATATACACATTCTCGATAGTATTAAAATATATATTATATAGATATTATATAGGTAAGATACTTACCTCATTATCAACATTTATTATTTGACAAATAATGTATAAAAAATATAATTATTGTTTGTACAGTAAAAATTATTGTAAATTAACCAGACTAAAAAATAAACAAAAGTGTTATGAATCAACAAATGAGAAGGAATGAAAATATTTGCATCTATTCATAAGTGCATAAATTATGAATAATCAATCGAATTAAAATCAAAATTAAATGGCCGAGTATTGATTAAAAATTAAAAATTAGATTTATGAACAGTTTCATGCAAGAGGTCATAGGATCTCGTCCCACTTGGAATACAGCTGATGTTGATTTCCTGCCAATTCTAGGGGCATCAGTTATTACCTGGAGTAAACCAATGAATTGCAATTCAAGATTTTCACATCTCATTTCTTATGAGTTAATAGCATGTACTTGTGTGACTGGACTATAACCATGAGATATTAAGAGAGAAACTTGCGTGACTCAGGTATTTATTTTTTACACGATTAATATGTATAATATTAGATAACATAGAGGGTAACCAGACAGTTAACCAATTATTCCAAGATAGACCGAACCAACGAATTTTAAAGAGAAATAGTTTATGTAGAAGAGTTAAAATTGGCCGAGTTACGTAGTATAAAACCAAGTAAAAGCATTGTTATATTAGATATATTAATTAAGTATGAATGGAATGAAAGATATTAGACTAAGATAGTAAGATAAAACCTGGATATTTCAATATTTTTTTTATATTTTTCTATATATTTTTTTACGTGGTACAGGATATAGGCACACCTTCCAAGGTGTAAATGAAGTCAATTGGAATATCAGTTCAGTGGAAGGACATGTATTATAATTGATTAATATCTAATGATATTAAACTAGTGATAGACCACTGTATCACTCTAATTTAAAAATCGAAATAATGTATCCCAGAGTAGCTGACATTTCC